GTATCGTCCTATAAGGACATTTTCAAATTTATAAAATATATAAGGACAGAGGCTGGTACCAACAAAAACATAAAAAAAAACCACAACCCACACCGCAAAGTGAAGTTGGTAGAGATAGTCGAGGTTTTAAAGATATCAAAAGAACGTGGGAGACTTACCGGGACAACCATTTTTTAAACTATATTTATTTTTCATTTTTTAGTTTCGTATGCTATAAAAGCTTCTTTTTTAGTATTTTTAAGCTATATTCATTCAATAAAAACACGTATTTTTGGCTAAGAAGGGACGGTAGTCCAAAACCTCATCAAGCATCACCAGAAAGGGTCTGTTTCGGTTTTGTTTGACCACTCTCCCTAAAGACTTTTCAATAAATTTCGTTAAATTAATTCCACCTATGATTGCTGACTTTTCAACCAGAATTGTATATTTGCTATCTGTAGGTACTTACCTGATGGATAACAGCAGGCGTCAAAACGTCATCACCCGTAATCATGACAACTTCTTCTTGGTAGGCCCTGTCCAACGTTTTGATCAGCCACTCCGAATCCCGGACGAATGTGGTGTATGGGGGGACCCATAATCTCAGGGGATTTCTTTCTTGTTTGAATCGTAGAAATCCTAAAGCGCTCAACAAAACTAAAGCCCAACAAAGTCCGATTGTTCGGAATGGGTGTTTTCCTACACATACTCCTAACCTGAAATGAAAACAATGATGGTTATTTCAAGTTGAAACCATAATAGACAAGAAGACTGTTATTATAATAACACACGCAGTCATGATTGTGAATTAAAATAATGTGCGAATGATTTGAAAAAAAGGAACCTCCCTTAAGAAAGTATTGGGTTTTGAAAGGACCTGAAATCCAATATTATCTACAAAGTACCGCGTGCTTAGTTTGAGATAGTATATATAGGGCAAACATGTAGGTATCTGAAACAAAGAATGGCGAAACATAGCGGGGATTATAAAAATCTACACACCCACCGAAAACAATGAAAAATCCCACCGGCCTTGCAGAACATTGTAAGTAATCTCTTCTATACTTTTGATTTTAATTCAACAGATGATATGGAAAAAACGACTCTTGAAATGAATGATTGAAATAACAAAGAATGAATCAAAATGTGTTAAGAAAAGGTCGGATATTGAAAATGTACATACCTCATATTTCAATCTAATAGAAAAAATCGAACAATAATTCAGAATCATCAACAGACGACTTTTTCCAATTACAATTCTCATTTCTTTCATGCGCCTTTTTTGCATTTATGAAGAAACGATTTACCGACAGTTCAGTTTGATAATTCCTTCGTGTCTGTGTAAACGTTTTACTTGAACCTGTGTATATATTTATATTTTATGTCGAATTTATTTACTTCGCCCTTTTTGAACTCGGAAAGCCGCCCTAAATGTAAGTATACCCATCAACGTTGTTTTCTGTAAAGTGTTCGAAGCGTTTAATTATTTTTAAACGATTATTATTTTACACAGTTTATTTTGTTTTTGACAAACTACATTCTAGAATCCCATTTTAATATGTATGTCTTGTTCTTATATCTCATAGTCCTGAAGATGAAACAATAAAGTTTCGAAACGTCGACACTTTATCAATTGGTTTTATTCAACATGTCGATGGAGATTTCTAACTGGTAAATAGGTAGTTATAAGCAGGTATAGTCGAAGTAAACGATACGGTGCACATTTAAAATTGCGGCACTCTCAAAGGCCAAAAAAACCAATACATAGAAATGAACCGGCTGCGAATTAGTCCACGTGGACTGCAAAATTGGCGGTTCGTATTGGATAATTTTTACTAACCGAGTTTTATGAAGATCCGCCCGACGCCAGCGCCGAATCGAAAGTATCAACAATCATTTTTAACGTTTCCAACAAATGCGTTAATCCATTAAATTGAAACAAATGAAACGTGAATAAGTTGAGGAATGATTAGTTGAAAAGATAAAAGGTGAAACGGGTTTCCATAGAAAACTTATAAGTGCCGGGAATAGCTGGGAAATGTTTGAAACTATAAAAATAAATCGCGAGCGGGCATTCTGTTTGTGTTTAGCTCAGTTTAATATTGACTTTTCTATAAATAATATGGATTTTTAGTTAGAGTCTGTAACACAATCTCGCAGGTTGCACTTTCTGAATAAATACATGTAATTTTTATACATCCTGCCACAGTCGTCTCTATCTTCGACAAAATGTACAATTTGGCTAAAAATAAACCGCAGATGTATACATTAACCTCTCACTGACCCATATGTAAGTGACTGTGCTGGTAATTAAATGAAATGATCGTGTACAGAGTGGGCCAGAAAACGTGATTGCCTTGAGTTGAAAAAATATTTCACTTCCGGGTCTGACCTTGTCAAAAAAACAATTTGTAACTCGTCTAGTTAGCAATAGAATCAGATTACAAACTTCTAAAGAACAGATTACATCGTTCAATATGCAAGTTCACCTTGACAATATTAAAAAATCTCTTTATCGTACATCAATCTCATTATGTTAACCAACCAAAACTGAAGAAGTGGTATAATTCACTTTCATAATTTTTGGTGATTGTCTCAAATTCTGAAGAGATTACATAAAAATCGATGGCAATCAACATCATTGATTTGAAGGTGGTTGACAATGTTTCGTGGTGTATTTCATTAGTTCGGATTTTCATTGTCTGATATAATATAAATTGATTTGAAATCCCAGACTTTTTTTTAAATTAACCGAAAATAACAATTTTATTAAACAAAAAACTGAAATTACCAAAAAATAACATACAAGCAACAAATGACAAAATGGACAAAATGAACCAACTTGTGATATATGTGAAGTTCAACTAACTGTGAAACATATTATAGTGCAATGCCCTCTATTCCAAATTGAGATAGATACATTTAAGATATCCCCTAACTTGAAAGAAATGTTAGACTATAGTAATAGTAACAAAATCATTCCATTTTTACACACTTTGGATTTAATTAGGAAGTTATAAATGTTATTTATCAACTCCACCGCTAATGACCCAAAGGGTTGATGCGGTTTATTGAAAAAAAAAACAAAAAAAACATACAAGCAACAATACCCCTTTTAAGGGGCTGTATCTTAACAAGGGATGCTCCATATAGTTTCTTTATATGAAAGATAGTATGTTTTTTTCGATGAGGAACACCTCCTTAAATGTTTTACACTTATTCAGTTACACCCTGTATTATGACCAAAATTACACAATCCTTTATAAGCTGTAGCCTATATATTATTTTGATGTAAAGTTTCATCTGAATCCGTTCAGCCGTTTAGGTGTAAAAAAGCTAGAAGTATAGATTAAACATATTAAATTTTGTACATTATCTAAAATGAATTGAATTGAAAAAAAACAAATGTTGATGTCCTTATTGTATAATATAAAATTCGACAACACCAACAATGACTTGTTACGTCAACAACCTCTGAGATAGCGTTTTTTTTTTAAGTAAGGATCTTGTAGCAGAGGAAGGAAGTGAACTTGTATCTTTGGAATGATACACAGAAGGTTTTTACTCGCATTTGATTGAAAACGACATGCAAACAGCCTATTATCCTTGAATATGGTCATTTTCTTGATGATAGGTACCACAGTTCAATTTTTACATTATAATTGTATCATAATTCATATTTAATTATTGTATGTCTAATGTATTCAATACGATGACGCTGACGATGACTTCCACTAAATGAATCATCAACAGCGGCTATTACTTACCGGTATTGTTATTTCAGATTCAAAATAGTAATATTTAATCAATATTAATGATATAAACAGGGCCTGGGCGGCATCAAAACACTGGGTATAGAGTTTATTTTGAAATCATTTGCTTTCCTTCTTTCTTTGGAGGATTCCCACATTTTTTTGTATGAAGATGTAGAAATAGAAAGCCAAACCCGTTTCTTATCCCTTTCAATTAGAGTAAAATATTGTTCAATAGGGTAATGACGAAACCTGAAATGATCTCAAAATTACTGGGCATCAATGATTACCAAAGAGTGAAGGTTTTTGAAATGGTACTACCAGTTTAAGGGTGAATCTAGTAGAAACCACTGGTTTCAAAAACAACCAAGGATCAGTGCTCGGGCCTATTTTGTTCCTCATCTACGTGAATGACCTATACAACCCTACTTTGGCATGGAAAAGATACAGACTCTCTGAAAAATATAATTGAGGCTGATTTAGAAAAAGGGCGATAAAATATATATCTAGAGCCAAGCGTTTAGACCACTGTATAGAGCACCGTTCATAAAGAGTAGAGTCTACTGCGTAACAGTCTACTGCATCCTCATTCTAGGAACAGGATGTCTAATTCAAATAAGAAAAAATAATTTTCCTTCCGCAAGAATATACAGCGTGACTCACGGTCGATGGTAGGTTAGACGTTTCTGGAAAACGCAAAGCATGATTTTTCTGAAAATTCCAACTCTTACATTTCCTTACCTGTTCTATCGATCTAAAATATTTTCAGTATTGCGGCGTTGCCACTTCCATCAAAAAGTCCTAGCAACTTCATTTTTTTAAATGGAACACCCCGTATATTAATACATTTTTGGAATCGCTCTGGTATTTTAATACTTTTTTGTTAATAATGTTCTATACATATCTCTATCTGTTTTCGAGATATTTTTATCGGCGCGTTTTCGAACCTTTCCTTAAACTTTCTAGGCAAAAATACGAATCGAATGACACCTTGGTCGTATTATTTGGACAGGGTTGAAAAATGTTACAAAAAAAAGTACATGTGAACTAGACTAATGCACCTTGTGCAAGTGTGGCTACCTCGACGCAGATCAATAACAACTAAAATAAAATTTTAAAAAAATCCTGCAGGAGACTCACTTGTAAAAAAATAACTCCGTATACGTGACTACACTGTACGTGAATTTTTGCGAAAAGTTCGCACAGCTGAATTTTTTCCCGTCCTTTTTTTCGGTGTGCATGATTTCAGGTATTGTCTTTGTTCTCTAGGGACATTTTCTAAACGCAATGCACCATGAATGAATCACCTGCCGACGATTGTATTTTGCAGCGCGCAGCTTTCGAGGAATATAACTAACTACTCCTCGGGTTTTGTATGAATCGATCGCACAAACAGCCGGGCATAAACTTATCTCGGGTCGAGTCGTTGATGAGAATAATAACTCGTACGTACGAATTCAAACGCTCAAGCGCCCACTACTCACACACAAAGGAGTGCAAGAAGTAGCCAGAACTGTCCGATTTTATATTTTGATTCGTGTGGTGGGACAAACTTACCGACAATGTTGAAGGAACAAGGTCGGGACCCTTGTTTAATTGGGTACCTGCCAAAACAAAAATAGGTTGCCTTCGAGGGCTACAAAACTCCGCTAAGAATTACAACAGTCGGCAGGCGTTGTGTCTATTCTACTTTCTGATAGTAAAAAGTAATGATTGACGTTTAGAAGTGCTCAAACAAAATTTCATAATTCCGTTATGATTTTACAATATTAGATGTGCCAAAAAGTTCATAGGTCAACATACAGATGCCGCTACTAGTATTAAATCCATATGACTTTCAGTTAACCTTAACCTTCAAAAGACACGTGTGCAAATTTCACAGCCATCGGACTGTTAGTTTGTGGGATAGAACATTTTCAGTGAAGAAACTTTTGATTGTTTGAAGAAAATGGATGCAAAGGAATTGTGTGTGTTGAAGCATTGCTTTTGGGTGAAAAAAACTGTTGAAGCCCAGTTTTGGCATGATAAACATTATTCGGACTCTGCACCAGGAAAATCAACCGTCGAGAAGTAGTTTGCCAAGTTTAAACGAGGTGCCAGCCAAAGAGGCTGGTACCAACAAAAACATAAAAAAAAACCACAACCCACACCGCAAAGTGAAGTTGGTAGAGATAGTCGAGGTTTTAAAGATATCAAAAGAACGTGGTAGACTTACCGGGACAACCCTAGTATGTCGAGAGAACTTAATGTAAAACAAGTGTGGTGGTTTTCTGAGAATTTTACAACAATTTGTTATTTTAACACCACTTGAGTTCATCCGCCTTCGAATTGCAATAACTTCTAATAAAAGGATTGATTGTACACTACAATCACTTGCATTTTCTTTAATCTTTCTAAGTAACATGTATTTGTATATCTAAAGTGCATCACATTAAAAATAATATCAACAAAACGTTATCAATTGCAATGGCAATACATTTACGTATTCTAAAAACACTTCATTGTGTGATTTTCACTAGACAGTTTTACGAAAACGCAACACGTGTTTCGCCATACAATGGCTTCCTCGGGTGTGTCTTAATGACACGCCCGACACTAGACAGTTTTACAAAAACGCAACACGTGTTTCGCCATACAATGGCTTCCTCGGGTGTGCCTTAATGACACGCCCGACACTAGACAGTTTTACAAAAACGCAACACGTGTTTCGCCATACAATGGCTTCCTCGGGTGTGTCTTAATGGCACGCCCGACACTAGACAGTTTTACAAAAACGCAACACGTGTTTCGCCATACAATGGCTTTCTCGGGTGTGTCTTAATGACACGCCCGACACTAAATAGTTTTACAAAAACGTAACACGTGTTTCGCCATACATCTAGTGAAAATCACACAATAAAGTGTTTTTAGAATACGTTAGTTATGGATTTTCATCAAGTATCAGCCGATGGAGGTGATCTGCTATGCCTAAACTCATTCCAAGCGGTAGATTGGGGTGTACATTTCTATTCATCCCCAGCCACCGCGTTAGAATGAGGTGAGCATTCTGTCCAGCCTCCGGATTGGTTTTTGTTCATGGTGACATGTTTTGCAAATGCTTTTGGGGGGTTTTATTTCTCGTCACCCTACTTATTTCTGCCACTAACCAGCAGTTCGGCGACCCCATATGTAAGACCACATTAGCTTCCCGGACAGGGCCTCCAGTCCCCTGACCGTTCCCCTATCCGCCACCTGGGAACGCNTTCTGGATAGATAATATATTCATGTTATGCCTTTCTCATATGGTTTTCCCTTTGTCTCACCTTCGTGTATGTTTTGCTATATATTTTACCTTATTTAAGCTAAATAGATTTTTAATATTTACTTTGGAATTTATAATCTTTGTTTTTTCTTAGTTTCACAAAGATTAATGAACTACTCACTTACCAATAAACAATGTATGTCAATGAATAAAGCCCATTTATTATTATTATAAAATGTAACTTTTCAATCAAATTTCATAATCGATCTGAATACGATACAAACTGAATCCTAAAGTGAATTTTTCAAAGGAAAACCTGATTTGCCGAGAATGTTTAGGTTAGATCCAAAGTGAGTGGGTCTATTCGACCCTCCACCGCGACCCGCAAGAGTTTATTGTGACTCACGCCTATTCACACTAGACCAAATAAACCCAGCTTCTCAACGAAGTCTATTATTTTTTATTGTAAGTGGTCTTTCAGGTCAGATGGCAAGAGTACGGCTCTGTCGAACTCTAAAAACCTGATACTGTTCCCAGCGGGGCAGGCACAAAGTATGTGCTCTGCTGTTTCATCCTTTTCCAAACAGAGACGACACACACTGTCTTCCGACAGTCCGAGTCTCTGCATATGACAGTGACCTGTAAGAAGGCCTGTTAGACATCGTAGTTCATCAAATATTTGGTATCAAGCTTCCTTCATTTCCCAAGTATGCTTGATGCTGTTCATCACCATTATTGGCTTATGGTGATTCGTTGCTAGAGAGAAATATTGTGCAGGGAAAAACAATTGACGTAACTGGATGGATTATTCCTTGTGTATTAGAGGTTGTCAATGTTACTCGGCAGTGGGAACACTCGTTAGGAAAATGGTATTTTGTGTGATCGGAAAAATACTTGCAAACAGTTGTTCTTTTTTTTCCATTGCCGTTCTATAAGTAGATACACTTCACAACAACTTTTCGAAGACCTAAAAGAAAAATCCAGGATCATTTGGAGTTTATCATTGCTCGGAGATCATTTATTTGTATTACGATTCATTACCACCGTTGGAAGAGGTCAACTCTGATGAAGGATACCACAGGACGTTTTGAAGAAATAAGAGAGACCTTGGAAGCGGATCAAGGAAGTGGAAAAAGTTAGTAAGGAAACAATGCCCAAATGCAGAACGAGAACAGGACAACTATGAAGCCACCAACATCAACATGAGTTCCCGCCCACTCACGGACATGAGAAATCTTTGTTGAGGAAAGGTCTAAACTTCGCCATTGCACCAACATCT